TACAAGAAAAGTTCATATTCAATTCAATCCAGAACTGTCTGAACATTTGTTATTGTAACTAAGGTTTACCGCGGTCGATGGATTGAAATCAAAGTTATGAATCCTTTGCACCGATTCAGCTCTACTGAATCAGATCAGCTTGGCCCAAGAACAAGCATCAATGTGACCAAGCAAACACGGACTACACTGAAGAAGCCTACGGAATACTTTGTTGAAATGTCTGCTTGGCGTGCCGACAATCCCAATCAAGAGCCAGATCCAGAGAGTGTGGGTTGGGAAGAAGTAGATGGGAAATGGGTGCAAGGAGTCAACATTTGCACAGGCCGGCGTGGGTACTTCAAGCGAGTCTGTGCAACAGACAAATCAGTGAACCGTGTATCTGAACTTCATAGTGGAGAAATGGAAGTGTCAGAGGAAGCAGTTGACAAGTACGAAGCATACGCTGTCAAACAAACAACATCCAAGTACAAGGCGATCGATGTCAGTGAACTACCAATCTTTCAATTCATGGCACCAAGTGGCTTTTCGCAAAAAGCTTTACCACCTTTGTTTTCGGCTTCATCATCATCAGGAGCAGCATCACATTCGCAAGCTTTGGTGCCATTGCCAGCGCCTACACCCGCTCCACTCAGCGGAGGTGATGCAGAAGTAGATGATGACATCAAACCATCCGAGGTGATGCATGAGCCAGTTCGCCGAGACATGTCATCAGGTTTGCTATTTGCTATGCCAGCAGCGACTGCAAAAGCCAAGTGCCTGGCAGCAACAAAAGCTGGTGCCAAAGCAAGCGCAAAGGCGCATCCGAAAAGTCATGCAAAGGCCAAGGCCAAAGCACAGACAAACAAGAGAAAGAAAGACACAGAACCTGAGATCATCACAATGGAGTCAGTGGAGGAACCTGCTGCCAAGACTCGCAAGACAACAGATGGTGACAATGCAATCCTTACTGAGTTCAACGGCAAATTGAATAGACTCAAGGAGGAAGGATTTGCTATGATCCAAGACAATGATCAAGCTGTCACTGAAGCCCTGAAAAAGGGAAACAAAGAGCTCATGCACTTGAACCAATCCATCAAGACAAAGATCAAGTCATTGGGCAGGCGCAAAGACAATCCTGTGATGCTGAAGGATGGCCTCGACTCATTGGTTGACATCATTTCTGAATTTCAGATTGTCTGCGCTGGGTTGATCCACTTGAATATTGATGATACAGAAGCGCCCAGGTTCCTACAACAGAAGGTCTGTGATGGTTGGAAGATCAGTGAACCACTGATGAAGCGCGCCTTCAAGACAGCATTTATGTCTCATCTGAAGTATTCAGACTGGGAAGCAATGTGCTCATCTACCAGACCAGCATTGATTGAGGAGTTTGGAGATGCTCGCGGAAATGATTTGTTCGAGATGTTTCTGAACGAAGTTGTCCAAAGGCTCCTGCGTTCAATTCCTGCCAACAAGGTGTCTTGATTCCTTGATTAATTTGAATTTTTGAGTTTGTCTTTGCAGTTTGTTTATTTTTTTCAAATAACTAAATATCTTTGATAATTCAATTGGATAATATTGATCATTTGGATTCATATGTTTTCTTATGTCTTATGTTTTCTTAGGTGACTTTGGATGATTCCGCATCAAACACACAGCCACTACGTCAGCTTCTTGATCATTTGCTTCCTCAATCGTTCATTGACTCAAGACCGATTTCCTTGACTTTGAAGAAGATTGATATCATCCTCAACCCCACACAACATCTACCAGCAGAAGTCAAGGCGGCTACTGACATGATGCAGGAAACTGCTCAGTCTCAAGTGCATGCAGACAGTGGCTTAGCGGCAGTGTTTTGCAGCATCTCACAAGGAAAACAACTTCGAGCGCAAGCAATTGAGTTTGCTGAATCAACCTCTCAGAAGGTTGAATTTGTGGAGTCTATCAGTGATTCTTTGAAGGATTTGGAGGCATTGTCTTCGGAATTGAACTCCACAGAAACCAAAATGACAGATTGCATCGACAAGTTGTTGGATGTTACCCGCTTGATCAAAACATCACGCTCAAAAGCAGAAAATGACGTTGTCCTCAACTTCTTGGAGAAGTCGGGCGAGCAAGTGATTCCGATTGTGAAGGTGATTTTCAAGGTCTTTGTCAGCAAAGTTGCGCTTCCATGGTTCTCAACATCTTTGGATTTGCACTCAGCGTCTCCAGGGAAGTTTTGCCCAATGCCTGCCCTTCAGATGAAGCAGCTAGCCGAGATGGTTGCTTCCAAGTTGATTCCTGGTTCATCATCACTATCGGGCTCTGCATCGAAACAAATTTCAGTTCTCTGTGAGCTTCAGAAGCAAATGGTGGCTGTGGACAATATAGTGGCCAAACATGCATCTGGAACGCTCAACACAACAGAGATCTTCAATTGTTCAAATGCTTTCAATGCCTTTGTCAAGACCTCTTCCTGGGAATTGATCTTTGGCAACACTTCACTTTTGACGACCTTTGAGAATACTACCAAGATGCTGATGGACCTGAAAGGCGCAAAGGTGAAGAGTGAGCACGACAACTTGCTGCAAGCTCTTGGACGGTTGATGTGTAAGGCAGGTCATTGTGAATCAATCAAAGCAAATATATGTTATTCAAAAATCCTATTATATTTTATTTCAACTGTTGTGAGGTGACAGTTTTGTTTCGAGTTACCGTCATAGTCATAGTCGTCATATGAATCATAGTTATATTATAATAAAATATATTCTCCTTGTCTAACAGGTCAACAATGGTGCTGACATTCAAGAGGCTGACATCAGTTCTGCCGAGACTATTTGCGCAAAGCTCACAGGAATCAGTTCCGATAGTGCCAATCCAAAGGCAATTGCAACATTGAGCTTATCAAAATGGATTCTTCTTGCCTGCATCGTGGCAGCAGCTAGATTGCTAGATCATATCATTGTCACTAGCCTTAGACTTAGATTCATTATCTTCTGAGCCCTCTTAGGCAAATCACATGCAGCTGCATCAGCCATGGACACTACAGAACGATCTATGCTTCGAGGTTTGCTCAAACCATTTTTTGTTCTGCAGCAGCAGCACAGTTCGCAGACGACATCCACAGAGATTGACAAAACAATTGAATTCATTTGCGAAATTCTCTTCGATCAACTTCAATCTTCCAAGGAGTTCACAGAGTCTTTCGAAGCAAAGGATGCTTTCCTTGCTGCATGTGTCAAGCCATTTGTTGATGCAACTCGCGTTCTTGAAGCACGTAAGGGACAATATGATAAAGATGCCAAACCGTTGGCCAATGATCTCGTTGGCTTGCTCAAGGGAATTCCACAACCACAAATGGATTCGCTCAAATCCTTTGTGAATACAGCCAAGAAATCGGAGAAGATCCTATTGCAGAAGACCGACAACGCCAATTCTTTGCTTCAGTCTGTGGCGCTTGATGTGAAAGAGTTTGCTTGCACACCTTCAGATATCTGTCCAATGCAACAGGACCCATTAAACTACAGCGCGCAAGACTTCTAGTTACTAGTAGCTAGTTTTTCTATTTTGTAGTGTTGCTACATATTTAAGAACTTCACCTAATGAGTGCGCATGATTGTTTGCGGTAGGAGCTTACTTCAGCGCAACATGCAGCGCTCACTCATCTTGCAGAGCTTTCGGCTGCTGTTCTGTTGACAACTCCACAGATTATGAAATGGATTGAGTCAGGCAAACAATGAAACAAACTTCAGAAACATACACAAACCATTTGTGCACTTAAACATTTTAGTCTTTCAGTTACTACTGGGCAGGTGGAAAAGCTCAAGGTCGATTCCATGAGCTTGTTTCCCAGATTATGGCATACTCTCGTGAAAAGTCGCTTGAGATCAATGCCGGAATTCAAGCAACTCTCACAAGCCTGATTTAGGCTTTTCAAGGTCCTACTTGGTTCAGCAGTTATCATGCTTGAGTGTTTTGTTATCAGTTTGTATTTGTTTTAGATCAAATCGTTATGCAATTACAATATATTTATTAATATTATATATTATATGTTTTTTGTCAGCTGCTTCATCGTTGTTGGTTGTCAAACGGCTGAGCCCAATCTCAAAGTTTCAAGCACAGTTTGTTTAGATGCTAGATCTGATCTAGTCTGATTTGGTCATTTGGCTTGAGGTCCAGAGTCTATGAAAATCAATTGTTGGATAGACATGGATACCTATCGTGTAACTATAACATATGCTTTATGTGTTCGAACTTTTGTTGTTTCAGTTTCAACATGTTTCAACTATGTAGTCTTTCGTTCTTGTTTTGATTCAGGGGATTTGGACTCAAACAGCGACCTTTGTCATTTGATCTGCTCCATATACCAGGCTTCACTATACGGCCTAGGGGACAAGGGAAGAAAAGAAACTGTGCGCTTGATATCAATGTTCATTTTTTTTTTGCAAGCATATCAGCTGGCTTGCAGATGTAGTTGTGCAGTTGGTACACCATATCAGTTTCTTTTTTTGGGATGCAGGCCCAAGTGCAGGTGATAGACAGACGGACCACAAACGTGGGATCATGGCGCGAACAAAGTCGCAAGCTGTGGCAGCAAAGCCATCAGCCAAAGGAAAAGCAAAAGCTGTTGCCAAACCATCGCCAAAGGTAAAGACGGCTGCAAAATCAAAGGCAGCAGCAGCAAGATCAACAGACCTTTCACCATGTTCTGTGCCTAAGAAACGGGCCAGAAAAATGACAGATGACAATCCATTCGAACGATCTCCGCCACCAAATCAGCAGACAGTTACGAGCTTCTTCCAATCACAACAGCAAGCATCATCTCAGGCATCTCAGCCTCAATCATCAGGGGTGAACCCAAAGTCTTCCTCATCGCCAGAACCAGTGGAAAGCTCAGTGCCAGCAACATCGGTTGAACACACGCAAGCCACTGCACCTGAGACGATGCCATCCACTTCAAGACCTTCAGCATCATCCACTGGTGAGTTACCATCTCCAGCTGCTCAGAGAATTGACCAAGATGAGCTTCTTGCTATCAAGAAACACGAGCGCTTCAGAGCCTTTTTGTGGGACATGGAAAACAATGAAGCTTATTTTCCATTCGAAGATCCAGCGACCTACCACTTCGACAAGACCAAATTCAATGAATGGTTCTCAGGTCATCCAGATCAAACAACACGAACTGTTCGCTACGTTTATAGAGGAAACAAGCCAAGAATTTTTTGGTGATGATGAGTGGCTCTTTGGTGATACAGTTCATAGCGATATTGAGGCTGATGTCCAACTTTGGAATGACTGGATTGCTAAAAGGCAAACCAAAGAAGATGCTACTGAACACACAGGCAATCCAGCCGAACCACGTGCAGCTGAATATACACCAGCAGCTGTCGAACCACATACATCAGCTGAAGCAACCTTAGCAGTTGAGGCAATGCCAGCACCTCAAGCAAACACAGCTCACGCAGATTCAGCTGAAGTTACGGCTACAGCTGTTGAATCACATCAGGAGCATGCATCACCTCAAGCAAACACAGCTCAAGCAGATTCAGCTAAAGTTACGGCTACAGCTGTTGAATCACATCAGGAGCATGCATCACCTCAACCAGCTACATCAAACCCTGAGATCATCATCCAGAAGATCCAAGGACATGAGATGTTTTCCAAGTTCATGCAGCAGCGACAACGGAGCTGGATCTTTGGTGACATCAAGAATGAATTTATTTCCAAAGACATTTGGGACTTTGATGAGTTTCTTTCCAGCCATGGCATGGAGCGTTTTGGAGATAATGAATTTCTCAGGCATTTGAACGAGATCGAACACGAAACATCACAAGCCGTGTCTGGTGATGGTGACTTAGCTACCCAAGAGTGTCCCATGGTTGTGGACACTTCTGATGGCCACGATGAAGCGCTGCCATGCATTGATGAAATGGATGTGGACGATCAGGCTGGGGATATGAATCATGAATCACTAGTCACTAGTCTCTAAAGACTAAGCACCAATTAACAATGATATGATTCGATAGTTTGGTTGAGTTGTGTGATTGATTTTAAGTTTGTGATTTCAATGAGTGGCTCAATGTTCAGGAAGCGGGACATGAACGAGGACCTGGTGATTATCTTGAGATCGATCATGAGGATATCTTGTTATCGGTGGCGAAGGCACACACACTTGAAACCTAGCTCTCGGCTAGTTATAAGGTTATATAAGTAGTTACATATTATATATTTATATAGCGTAGTCTAGTGATGCTGATGATGATGTCAAATTGTGCTTTTTGTTAAGTTAAGCTGTTTAGTTTCGGATTGCGCCAGGCTCAAATCAAAGCTGCTTTACAAATTCCTGGACTGCGGAATCGAATGATGAATCTGCCGCGCATCTGGTCTTTGGCCACAACATGTACGGGGTCTGGCGGGTTTGAACTTGCGGCTAGAGCTGTAGCCAAAGAACTCACAAGGGCCTTAACAACCTTTGCTGATCATGCAAGTTTTGAGGCAGGGTAACCAAAACGTTCAATGCTAACAACCATGCAAAAAAAAACAATAAACATATGTAACATATATCAAATCGTAAGTAACAGCTCTTTAACTTAACTTTTTACAAACACGTTCTCGCAGCTTGCTTGTCTTTCATACTGTGGTTCAATGATGTCTTGGAGGTCCAGCTCGAGATGGCTTGCGAGATTGAGAAGTTCAAACAGCAGCTGCTCATCAACCATGTCTTACCTCCTGACTGTTGTCTTTTCCAAGATGTCACATGCTTGAAAACGAAAGAGCGGACATGTGTTCGACATGGCTCTGGCTTCGATACATGTCTGCAATGATTAAGTGAATCAGTGTTGACAAAATCACAAAGATTGAATTTGTTCACGACATTGCCAACAATATTTGAGTGAAGGTCGATATAGTTGTTTAGCGGTTCTTTGGAAGTAATGTCTGATTGGTCTGACCAGGAACTTCCGAAAGATCTCTTTGGCTTCGTGAGCGGGTTCAGCTGCAAGTCACTGTCAAAGCTACAAAACTCTCAGGATTTGAAAAAGGCAATCATTGAGCGCAATCAGGACTGTTCTTTTCTAAGAGATGAATGAACTTGACGCAGTTTATCCACTGTATGTTTCAACGACCAGAACTATGAGCCAATACACTTTTGCTTGTTGATTTGCAGGAAAGTTCTTCATTCCAGACATTTTGCGGGAACCTAGACGTTCTAGATGAATGTCGCCCGTTGTGGTTCCTCATGGAGAATGTCGACATGGGAGATCCTGCTGATGACAACTCAAACAGTGCGGCTATTCAGAAACTCTTACGCGAGTCGGGATATACTGTGCGTAGCTTGCTGGGCAGTTCATTTGTTGTGAGTCATGAGAAAGATATCAATGCTGTGTTTGTTTCTCCAGGTGAAGCTCCATGAACATAGAATGAAATCAAGATATTCATATGATATATGTTTGTGTTTGTTTTTTTTCACATGAATTTCCTTGTAACAATTTACTAAGTGTGAATACACAAATGATAATGCTTTCATTTCAGACATCAAGACTGTTTAACACCAAGCAGGTATGGTGCTTCTCAAAGCTTCTGATTTTGCCCTACCACAACGGCGAAAGCGATTGTTTCTGATCGGTGTCAGCAATCAACGAGCACAGGACGAGATGAAGTCCACACCAGATGAGATCTTGGATCGTGTGGTCAATGTGTGCTTGCCAGCCATGCGACTATCACCACCAGATGTTGACACCTGCTACCATACAAGAAACAAATCAACAATCAACCATGCTGCTAACAGTGCTAGTCAATAAACAACAAAACATGATAAAAAACATGTTTCATTTTTATTTGTTTTGTCTACGGTTCAACCAAACATTACATGAACAGCTAAGGATATCTTTCTGTTGAACGACGATGACCCCGATGTCTTTGCAGAGCTAGATCGGCGAACAAAGTCACGAGAGAAGAAGAAACAAGATTTAGAGAAACGCATGCAGGAACAACCAGCCGAATCTGCGCAGGCGAAGGGAGAGAAATGGAAGGACTTGCATATGCAGATTGCTGCATCACGACACACCCTCAGTGTGACAATGATACATACAGTAACTATATTTGATGTTTCGACTATATTTTTACATTTTGCATCGTGACTGAAATCAACTGTCACAGTCTTTGTCTTTGTTAGTATTGCTGATGCTAAGGGAACATGCAGTGGCCAATCAAAATTCCACATGATCTTCGTGACAATGACTGGTTCAAAACATTACCATTGCGGGAGCAGGAGGCTTTTGTGAATATGAATGAATTCACTTGTCATTTGCCTATTGTCTATTGTACATTTACGTTCTGAGTACTTTAACTAAGTACTATGATGCTTGTATTTAAACATAGATAAACTTTGCTTTGGCCAGATCGTGGCATTGGTGAACGCCTCGAACGAAAACAAAGAGCCCTATGAGAAGATTCGTTTTGCTGACCTATATCATAGTGCAAACCGGACACCTGTGAGCCAGCGAAATGTTTCGTGAATGAATTTGAATTCGTTTGTTTGTTTGTCATCAGATTGTTTCTTGCATTGTTGTTGTCGGCTTCAGTTTGCTTTTGGATCCTGACTCATGTGACCTGTGCTTGTGACTCAGGTTGTTCCTACTGTCCTTCCATCGGGTACAGTTTGGGACTATGAGCGCGATCGACTCCATCTTGGCTGTGAGCAATTGGCTCTGCAAGGCATTCAATATGCCAGTGGGGTCACATCAGCTTTGTCAAACAACCAGCAGCAAGATCTAGCGGGAAACGCGTCGGAGACTCTGTTGATGCGGAGCGAAAGGGAAACATTTTTTTAAAAATAATCATGGTCACAGCCATACAAATACAGATACAATACATTCAGGTTCACGGTCCCAAGCAGAACAGTCTTTATGTGGTTGCTTATGTGACTTATGTGTTGCTTTCGGTATTTAATTGATCAATCGACCAATCATTTCATTAATGTTTTTCAATAGATATGATGATATGATATATGATATTTTTCTTTACAACAGGGCATGCTTCGACCATATAAGCGTGCTCATCTTTCACGTACACCAAGACTTATTGGTCATGGATTCATGAAACTTTTTTCCACTTGATTCAACTCGACTCAAGTCATGTTCTTCGTCATTATATGGGTTTGGAACACATGGACTGTGACTGTGATTTGTTCTATGTGGTCCAGAAAGTCTAACTACAATAGATAGATAGAGCACAGAGTGCAACTTTCAGACCAACTGGATTGTTAAGTAGAAAGTTCATAGATTAACGATTAATGATATTTTATGTTGTAAACATTGTTCGCTTTATAATTAGATTGTGAGATCTTTTCAAGAGATGCTTGTGCGGAATACATGTGACATCAACAACAAAAGCAAAATGAATCTTGTGACTTTCCTATTCAAGTGACTTTTCCATAGGCAACCACTGTTTTAGGCGGCTCGTGTTGTTTGTGCCAGTGTTCAAGGTTCCCAACGACAATCGTGAGTGCTATTCTGATTTCGATTGTGAGCTCTCTTGACTATGTTTCAGATGATGAGACCGAGATGCTTGACGGTATCAGCGAATTGCTCAAACGGCTCTTTGTCATAAACAATGACAATGAACACACGACATGATTGAACCATGTATGTGACAGGACGCGACATGATAGACAATCAAACTAAAACACAACCGATGACTGAGGTACTATAATTAAGCCCAAACAACTTTACTTACCCATCTATATTTTGCTGCAACACAAATATCATTATGTGGCTGATTGCTTGCTTTCTCAGTTTAGGGTTGTCACTCTTCAGACCGTTTGTTTTTTTGTTTGTTTGTGTTCTTTTTTGGAACTCTAAGGTTGAAATGAAAGGTTGTTCAACGGCCCAAAGAATGGTTGCAGGGAAGCTAGTACAGTGGCATAGCGCTTCCTGGCAACGCCTTGGAAAAGCAGCTGCGATCATGGATGATTCTACCACGGCTTTGTGTGTATGTTTGTACATATATACGTATGAGTGTGTTTGACAAGTTGAATCATCGCAGCTGAGATACTGCAAAATACAAAAGACTGCTTCTGAAAGTTAGCAGTGTAATGCTGTCGGGAAAGCTGACAGCTGAACATGTCCGTTTCTTAGCCAAGAGTGGCTGCTCAAGTTTAAGCGGAATCACACATATAAAACCACATATCTTATTTATTGATGTTGATAATCAATAATATAAAACTAGAAAACACAACAAAACACAAAAGCAAATACTTTGTCATATCATTTGTTTGTGGCCGAACATTGCAGCCAGCGCTACGTGGACTTGGATTCACAGCGACCGAAAAGGGACCACCGATCGATGACAACACGTTTTTCTTTGGACACACATAACTTATACCATGAATTGACATTGCATGGTACAAAGTGTCGTGCCATGCCCCTAGTGTCGTACCAACATATCGTACCATGTGTCGTACCACACCCCGACTGTCGTACCAACACGCCGTACTATGCGTCGTACCATGGGTTGGCTTGACCATCTCACACCTATCTTGAACTTAGCTAAAATTGATAATTGATATAATAATTATTAAAATATATTAATTATATTATTTAAATAATTCTATCCGGAGTGGTAGCGAACCTCTTTAGTGCAAAAGCTGCGGAAGTATCGATCGTCGTGTTTTGAGGATCGAAACTCACACCGGTGGTTGTTAGAGCCGCCTCCACTTAAGGAGGGCCTCGGTAGCGCAAAATGCGCAGGCTTCCCAACTCTTTAGCTGTTTTCTGTTAGCTGAAGCTAATCCCTGATATTCTAGGGAGGTGTGGAATGATTTTTTTCCTCTTTTGGCCGTCTATGCGACCTTTGGTGTGTAGTCGTTTTTAAGTTCATTCTTCAAATTGACGAAGCTTTGTTGGAGGGTTATCCAGTGGAAGTCCCTTAACTCAACTGCCTTACCCCGCCGCGCGTCTCCGTCCAGAGGCGCCATGGCAACAGCCGCCAACTGGATAGCTTGGGATTGGTCCATGGTAAACGATCGAACTTGAATATAAAGCTGCAACTGGGAGGAACGATGAAAAATTGATTGGACGCACATTCGGTCACACTTGCCCCCTGGACATGACAGGCGCCTTTTGACACAAATTCACTAGACGTACAGCCTAGGTCAGTGCACGTCGGTCCGGACCGGGAAGCACAACCTGGCATACTTGCTTGCAGCATTTTTTCTGGCACCACGCAGTGATCGGTGGTTTCTTCTCTTTCCAAGGTGTAGAAAGGCAGCTTGAAGGGCAGTAGCCACCAAATGTTGGTAAACACTCGGTCCAGGAGCCCCAAAATCTGGGAAGGATGACTGGGATGCTTGTCCAGCTGGAGACTTGGCAGTTCTTCAGGTTCAGCTGAAAGATATGTAAGATGTAACTATTGAGATATCTGGCTGACGACGTCGTCTAAAGCAGAACTATTTGTTGGGTCCCACGTGAACCTCGCCCACCTCGCCGAGCTTCAAACAGCTCACATCGTAACCAGCCCTAACCAGTGGGAACGGCCGACATGAATTTCTCACAGAACGGCCTGTTGTCTTGTGCAGGAGGCAATGACCACCGCAAGGACATAGCCTCATGATCCCTGGCCCTGATCATGAAAGGTTTCCGCTCTTCTGGACCGGTACTTAGTGCACTTAGTGAACTTTTCGGTGAGTTGCCTTTTCAAAAATTTAATCTTTTCAATCATTTCATTCAACTCTTCCTCCTGCGTTGTATACTGCGCCTGGAGTTCAAAGAGTTCCGCCTCTTGATCTCTAGTGATGTCCTGGAGTCGCACATTTTCATCTCGAAAGAGGCGAATCATCTTTTCCGTTTCTGTGTCGGTTTGGGTTCCGACTTGTGAAGAGCTCGAGGTGGTGGTGCTCAACTCTTTAGACCTGGTAATCGGAGGGTTCAGTGATGTAGAGACTTTGAAGCACTGCCAAATGAACATGCTGAAGAGGATGACATAGAGCGCTAGGGTCACTTCAGGGGAGAGGAGGAATGCCACGGTTTCCTCAACTGCCATGGCTTTCACACCCATCATTTGTGAAGTGAGAATTGCAAATGCCAGCTGCTTTGGGTTGCCAATTCTTGCAATGGCGTGCCTTCTGGAGTTTGTTTGCCTTTCTGCTTGCGACTTCTTCTTGGCCGCTTGGAAGGTCATGTCGGATTGGAGGGAAAGGCAGTGAGATCGTAGCCGATCTGCAAACAACTGTCTTGCACTGTGCTTGGTGACTCCGTCGGCGATTTGGGCTTCCGACGATACCCACTTCAGGCGGGTTTTCATTCCCACCATTTTCTGTTTTGTCACCATGACTTCGATCTTGGTGCGCTTGTCACCCTGGAGGCTAGGAGTCTCGGCCTTCAAGGAATCGTACAGGGCCTTGGCGTCCACGACCAATGCTGAAGGCATTTCAGGAACAAAGCTATCCACTTGGCGAAGCTGAAAGTCACAGCGGATGCAGCCTTCCCAGAAAATCAGAAGATATTCTAAAGCATCCATTGCTGCAGATGAAGCTTGACTTTCGGCATTGAGAGAGGATCGGCTGATCCGAGGTAGCTTGAAGCTGCGCCAATCCAGGATGATGTAATCCTGAGCGGAGCCATCTTCCAGCGCTTGCTGATTGCAGAGAAAAATCAAGTAGCCGCCCTGTGATTCATTGTTTCTGCGCACTCCCCAAGCTGCGTCACTCATGGCGATCATGCTCAGTTTTTCCATATCGCCTCCAAGATCTCGAAAGATCAGTGCTGTGTCGCCGTTGGACTTGACGAATCTGAGAACTTTGTTGGCCTGGGACGCTGTCTCGCCAGTTGCTGTCGTGACCTCTCCACATAGCAAGGAAATTGAAGCGCTAAGGTGTGGAGATGTTTGTGTAGCTGGCCATTGAAGTGCTCCCAACAAGGCTCGGAGACAGCTCTGCTCTTTGGAGTTGAGATTGCGATTGGAGTCATAGTCAGTGCATGTCATCGGTTTCACTCCTTTGAGATATTCAGCTTGATGCAGCTTGGATTCCGTGGTTGTTCGACTGAGGTGGCATCCACAAAACTCAAGAGGCTTGTCCTCGGTCTCCTCAATCCAGTGCTTGAAGTTGAAGGCATCTTTCAACTGCTGTTTGAGACTTTCGTACTCAGGGTGGCCATCTTTTCCACAACCTAGGAGGTCATCAACATGTAGACCAACCATAGAGATCAGTTGCTTGTTGGAGTCGTGGAAGGTGTAGAGGCACTGATCCAGGGCGTGAGCTCTGAAGCCAAGGTTTTCCAAGCGTCTGCGGGCGACAATGAACCACTGTCTTGGAGCGTCAGCTTGGCCATATATTGGCTTGATCAGCCTCATCAAGGTTCCAGGTGCCACACCGATGATCTCGCAGGCATCTTTTGGAATCTTGGCCCACAAGGTGCGTTCTTGAGGATCTCCTTGGAGAAAAGCTGTGGACACATCGGCCGTCCATCTTCCCCAATGACTAACCTGGCTGATGGCCAGGAGCACTTGTCTTGAAGTTCGTGCCAAAGTCGGGGATGATGTGTCAAGTGATCCTTGAAGAAGATCAGGATCGGAGAATCCTTGGAGTACGAGTCTGGCTTTTGCTTTCAGACCGCCTTTACCATCAGAAGCCCACTTCAGGACAAATCGAGCTTTCATCACTCGGTTGTGATCAACCGCTGTGGGGTCCATTTCAATCTCCCAGATGCCATTTTCGAAGATGCTGGTCAGCTCGGCTCTTTTACCTTCAAGGAATGCGAGCCTGTCCTCCAAGGTCATGCGACGCTCGCTGAGATCAGCGCTTTCCTTCACATTCTTCTTCTTGGGAATCCCCGCTCCGACCGCTTGCCAGATGTGGCCACGGCCGCGAAGAGTTTTGCAGCGCTTGAGTTTGCTGGACATGTCGCCGATGTATGGCGAGCCATATTGCTGTGCACCTTCTTGGGTGAGTGGGTAGAGTGTCTTTCCAGTCCAAGCTTCGTTGAAGTGCTGCTCATCAGGAGAGTTGACATAGATAGTGCGGGATCCTTTCTGCATCGACAAACCGGTGGTTGTTTGTAGAAGATCCTTGGAGATGGGGAACTGCTCAGGATGATATGTAGTCGTTCTGCCCCATACATGATTTCTGACCAGAAAGCCATCTTCAAAGCCCCACCAATCCTTCGTCTCACCGAGGATGAACTCATTGTTCTTCTCATCGTAGTGCCATCTTTCGGGAAGTTTGGTGGATTTGCCAAAGTCGAAGGAGTGGAGGTCCACTTCGATGTCTCCAGCATCTGTTTTGGCTTTCTTACGAGCCTAGATTGTCTCTTGCTGGTCAAATCTTCTTCTTCGATCTTGGAAGGTCTCAGCCGTGCTGGGAGGCAAATAGGATGAGTCCACCATTGGAGCTGAAGCTGAGGTTGAGGCTTCTGGAGGTATTTCGGCTGGACGTTCAAGATCATCGTCCTCTGGAACTGGAGGTAGCCTTGATGGATCTGGCGGTACCATTGGCGTTTCCATGTGTGACGGTTCATCCATAGGCTGTTCTTCATCTTCATCATCCATCAGCCCTTCCAGCTGTGGTCGTTGCTGTTATCCGTGTTTGTGGTGCGATAGGTACTGCAGCAGGGGGTGGTTCTGCTGCTGCTGACGTGTGCTGTTGCTCTGAAGGTGCTTCCTGAGGAGATCCGGATCCGACGGGATGTCCGTCTGATTGCACCGGAGAAGACATTGTCAATGGTGGTGCCTCAGTGTCAGTGGGAGTGTATTCCATGTCATTGATTTCAGGATCAACCTCATTAATGGATCTTTTGTTGGACCTGCGAAGATCGATGATGCGCACTGCTCTGCGCTGCCTCAGGTTGTGGAGAGCTTGTTGAACTCTGGAGGGTCCGTCAACTATGCCATTGTCGTTGACTAACTTCCTGACGTGCTGAGCGCCAGCCCTGAGGAGAACAGTGCCATGGGCCAACCAATAGCAAGCAACAGTGCCGGTGTCA